AGGGTCAGAGGGAGAAGCAGACTCCCTGCCGAGCAGGGAGCCCGATGTGGGACTCGATCCCGGGACTCCAGGATCATGACCTGAGCCGAAGGCAGTCGCTTAACCGACTGAGCCACCCAGGCTCCCTGGACTTTCTCTTTCTAAACTATAAAATGAAGGTTTAACTAAGTGATTTCTAAAATTCTGTAATTCCATGATCAATCTAATGGGAACATGTAAGATGGAGGGAAGAGGGTGGATCCTGAAACTGCATTCTTTATAACATACTTCTGTAGTAATCATAAATGATATTATTGATTGTTTTCATAAGAAATACAGATATGGCAGTTACAGTGGTTTTGAATATATAAAAAAATAAATTAGCCTTATCCTTATAAAGGAATATGGGTTGTCACATCTGCTTATTTGACTCTTTTCTATTTATTTTTTTTGAAGATTTTATTTATTTATTTGACAGAGAGAGACCCAGCGAGAGAGGGAACACAAGCAGGGGGAGTGGCAGAGAGAGAAGCAGGCTTCCCACGGAGCAGGGAGCCCGATGCGGGGCTCGATCCCAGGACCCTGGGATCATGACCTGAGCCGAAGGCAGACACTTAACAACTGAGTCACCCAGGCACCCCTGACTCTTTTTTAAATAATCTTTTTAGAAAGATTCATGTAACACTTCAAACTTTTAATATTTTAACATATATTGTATTTGTGAAGCAAGTACTAACTACATCTTGTTACAGCTCCTGTTATTGCCATACTTGTAATAGACTTGAGTCCTACAAACAGTTTTACAAAAGAGGGTCACAGAGTTAAAGCCCAGGCTTTGACAGGGGAAGCACATCAGATTCGATTTGCCTCCATTCCCAGGTAATAATGATTAAGAAGGCTGTCTACTAAACTGACTTCAAAGCTGTTGATGGGATATCAGTGGATAGAAAAGAATTCTTATGGAATCAAATCTGTACAACTTACAGCAAACTCAAATTTCATTGAGAGGGATGGGGTTCCTTATTATTTCTTTACTTGCCAGTTCTTTATTGAAATATATTTGACATATAACACTATAAATTTAAGGTATACAACATGTTGATTTGATACATTTATATATTGTAATATGATTGCCATTGTAATGATAATTAATACCTCTACCATGTCCTATAGTTACTATTTCTTTTTTGGGGGAAGGGGTTGGAATGATTAAGGTCTAGTCTTGGCAAGTATCATGAATATAGACAACAATACTGTATTATAATCAGATTATAAGATTAAAAGTTTTTAAAATTATAAACTGAAAAATAAATTTCTCTGGTGAATAGGACTCCTGTTTAATTCTCACAAAATTATAACACACACACAGGCACATGCACAAATACAAAACATTCTGTAAAATGATAATAATTCCTTCCTTTTTAGCATAAACAGAAACCAGAGAGATAAGACCATACGTTACTTATCATCTACTTAAACTAATTAGTACTTGAAGTTGCCTTCATCACTTGGTAAGATAGAAATGATTTGTGAAATAGTAGAACTATTCAGCTTTCATGAGGATACAAAAGGCATGTTTTAAAACAATAGTTATAAACAAATAAAATTGTGACCTTTACATAGAATTATATTTGAAATTAATTAAGGGATCGATCTGGATTATTATTATAAGTCATTTGCTGAAAAGTTATCTTTCCATGTTTGTCTGTAGAAATAGGTCCTTTGTCTTAAATACCTTCTTTTTTATTTTTTTATTATTTTTTTAGTTTCTATGATTTTTTTAAGTTTTTATTTAAATTCCGATTAACATACAGTGTAATACTAGTTTCAGGTGTACAATATTTTGACTCAACACTTCTATACAACACCCCATGCTCATCACAAGTGCTCTCCTTAATCCCCATCACCTATTTCACCCATCCCTGCCCCCCACCTCCACTCTGGTGACCATCAGTTTTGTTCTCCATAGTTAAGAGTCTGTTTCTTGGTTTGCCTCTGTACCTTTTTCTTTAGAATTTACATTGTCTTTAGTAGTTTATCAGTATCAAAACTTGACCTTTACCCCAAAGTGAAGTTAAAGGTAAATTTGATCCTAACATCATTCAGAATCTAAGGTTTAGGTTAGAAACTAATGTCAAAATCAAGTAAGACATATTCAAGCTTAATAATAAAAGGAAGAAAATGTGCTTCTAAAATAACTTTGGTGGTATTATTACTAACTATTGTGAAAAGGAATCATTCTGTCTGGATGTCTCAATATAATTACCTTTCCTTGTGCCTATCAGGTCTTGCTTAGCAGTAAGTTGAGTTGGCCTCTCAATTGTAGGGAAGACCCAAGGTAAATAACCGAAGACTTATTAAAGGGTATTAGTGCCTTGCATCACGTGGTTTTTTTCCTCCTACATTTTACCGAATAGGAAGATGACAAAAAAGAAAGATTTGATGACAGCAGGGTCATCTTTGGGTCAATCTTAGTTAATGAAATGCAGAGGGGGAAATAGAGTTGTCATTCATAAAGCTTGAAAAGAAACTAGTCACACTTTAAAGAATGAATTTTTATGTTTCTTAAAGAGATACAGGAGAGTTCTAAAAAATTAATTGCATTCTTAATTAACTAATCCTACCTATTTGAATTAAAACTGTTGTAAAAATGAAAAATAGCTAACCACAACACTCTCATATTTTAAGGATTTTTTTCATTTAAGAACCTGGATATCAAGTGATACTACATATATTATGAACTCTAGTTGGTCTTCTTTATGGAATTACAACTACTGATTTTTAAAAATTAGAAAAATTACCATTTCTTATACACCCAAGAACAATTTCTTACAAGTTAAATCTACGTGTGAACTATTTTAATCAATATAACATAGCCATTTGCATTTCAGCTGCAACATATAGTTTTCAGTCAGCTTCTGATATAAACATTCAATACACATTTGTTCATTGATTAAGCTCTTACGAAATAAGTTTTATTTTAGATTTTTAGATTTTAGTAATATAGGTAACACTCCGGATATACAAAATTAAATTATTGAGTTGAGGATAATTGTTCTGTTTCAGGGATAGCTCATTCTAAAATATGTAGTAAGTATCATAAAACCACCAATATGGGGGATGTTTTGGTAAAATACAGCTAACCAAATAATTTGCCTAGCTAATTCAGAAAAGGATATTTTCTTTTGTTTGCATTTCTCTGGGGAAAAAATTGTTAATTGTGCTGTGAGGTCTTGGCAAGACTGAAGTATTTTCGGGAATCAATGTAAGACTGCCAGAATACAAGAAATAATATCGGCATTGTAGCTCTGCCTATATTCTTGTCTTTTTCTTAGAACTATTTCATGTCTTAGAAAGTTAGGAACAGTATTCAGAATCACTGAATGATTGCTTATTGAGTTTGTACAGAGTGAGTTGAGATTTTCTGTTTCTCAGAATATTTGGCTTTTGCTGTTTGAAGAAAAATGGCAGAGATTCAAAACTGCTAAAACAAGCTGCTAGAATAATAAGACCAGCCATTCCAAATGGACTGTTTAATCATACCTTTTTTTTTTGCTTGTCAGGGTCAAGTGATAGTTAAAGATTTTGGACTGGTCAATCTCCAAATCATGAAGGTGTTCCTTTCTACGTGATAATTTCTCAGTCATTGATTTAGAGCCATAGAATGATACTGATTCTCAGTTGAGTCTTTAATTCATGATTACCAGAACTTTATTTAAATTTATTATTATTACTACTATTATTATTATTCACAAGTATCAGAGGCTCAGAACACCTTTAATAACATTGTTTTAGTGGGAAAATGTATTTCAGTAATTATATTTCACCTGGGAATGCTAGGAATCCTTACCCATACCAAGAGAAAACCATTTCTACAGTGGGGTCACCCATCCACCTCAAACACTAATCTGACCTTTTTGAAAAACAGGATATTATTTGTTGAGCACTTATATTAGATCAGGTACTGTTTCAGCCATTAGGGATAAATTAGTAACCAAAGCAGGCAAAGATCCTTGCCCTTGTGAAGCTCATAGTCTAGCATTTACTTGAGTACTAGTGACACTGAACATTCTCCATACATATATTGACCTAGGCAGTCTAGGAGAGCTAAA